TGTGGAATTCGAGATTTTGAACAATTTCTAGGTGGCTGTATAATTAGGAGACGCACTGTAGCTTGACCCTCACGGCGGGTGACTTAGCTATATCGGAATACTCGAAATGTCCATCGAACCCCAAAAATTTTTATATGGGTCTCAAAGGTATGCTTCGTCGATTTTATCATATTTTAGAGGAAACTTCTGTTTTGAAGTAGTTCGGTCATTCTCGTGGCATGAACACCTTATCAAATAGGCCGTTCGACCAGATTTATTATGCAACTTGAAAAAAGCAATCGAATAGAATTGAAATAAAACAATGAGGATTTCAGAGGAGAAATTCTTTCTGAAAACCTCTTTGGACTGGCAGTCAACCAAAAACCAATTTTGAAAAGAAACAAGGGCTTTTTAAAAATCTAATACCGGAATGTTTAGGAGAGGTAGTGACTAAGTCAAGCGTATTTCTTTGATCGGTACAGTATTAGTTGGTTCTCTTCGAGCTTCCGAGATTGATACAGAACTTTATTTCGGCTTACGTTTCGGCGCACTCGCCTTCTTCGGAGCCTGCAAATCGAAGCATATTCTTGAAACAATCCAACCGTCATTTCAGATTACAAGAAGAAGAACTAAGGGATAAAGCCATGAACAGATGACAAAAACCCGCTAACCTTTACAAAAGCCGAGAGCTGGAAGGCACCCTTTGCTTAAAGACCGTGCGGGGTTGCTTTTATACGTGTTTTCGCACCTTAAGGGTCGGGTCATATAGCTTAAGGGAACCCCCCAAGGTGAGATTTGAATTTTAAGGGTCAGATTAGCATTTGATGGACCCCCCAGGATTGATCACGTAGATCAATACCCCTAGAACCCGCGAAAATGATGGTACCTGCTGATCGCCGCGCCTTCCCTTCAGCCATCGATTTTTGAGGTGAAGCCCGAAACCCCCGCCTCGGCGCCCCGCGGGGGTATTGACCGCGTAGATCAAAACCCACAGAGGTCCGAAAAGGGTGCGAGCTCTCTAGTAATCGCCACGCACTCGTCCTTCCTGTTGATCTTTGGATCCTTTGCTGCAATCCACATGGCTTCAAGGGTTCTGCGGGCAGATATCTCCTGTTCGCATGCCAAGATCGTAACCTTCACCACCATGTTGGCGTTTTCGTGATACTGCACCTTGTGGTCACCTAGAGGGGTGGAAGTTTTGGCCTTTTTGAGCCCGTCTAGGTGCTCCTTGATCCTTACGCAGAGCGGTCTGCCTGTTTCTCCTACATACTCCTCTCCACATAGTTGACATGTTATTAGGTAAACGACTCCTGACATCATGCAATCGCCAGCTTTCCCGAAAGGGCAAATGACGCAGGAAGGGGTTAGACAGAGTCGGTCATAGAGGCGGTTCCGGACCAACTGTCTTTTCAAACTTGTAGGAGGGAATCTCGACCATTCTCACAATATCCTGGAGATCCGCTTTTCTCAGACAGGCGCGAATCGCAGCGCTCGTGTCATCAGAGATGAAAGGGAAGCAAAATGGTATCTTTGTCTGCTCTTCTTGTTGCACGCTTTCTGTCCTAGTCCGTCGCCCATGCCACTCCGAATGCCCATTTTGACTGTAACCATTTTCTTTAGCAATACGTTGGGCCATTGTCATTGACTCCGTTTTGTAAACGCCTTCCGATGAAACTGCTGAGGCAGTTCGGAACATGTTACGGACAATGGCCTTTTTGGTGTTTGAAGGGTGGGCCGAAGTGCAGTGGACGATTATATTCTTGCTACTAGGCTTACGATACCACCTAGTCCTATGGATGCCTCGTGAGAAGTGTATTTGGACGTTCAAGAAGGCGAGCCAGTTTTCCGTCGGTTTTTCTCGAGTGAACTTTATATATTCGGACTGCTGATTCAAAAGGTCGAAGCATGCGTCCATCTCGGATTGGGTGGAGCATACGATAAAGCAGTCATCGATGTACCGGCGGTACAGGATTGGCTTACGTTCCATTACAGGCTTCTCCACTTTTGCCATGAAGGCTATTGCGAGAACAGGGGCAAGCCTTTGTCCCATAGCTAATCCTCTGACCTGCTTGTAGTACTCCCCTGCCCATCTGAACGTATTACATTTGAGACACTCGTTGAGTAACACCATGATTTGTGCGATAGACAGACCGTACAAGTTGAGAGTGCCATGGTGTTCGGTAAGGATCTCCAGGACTGCCTGCATTGCACTATCTTTAGAGACGTTTGTATATAATGATGTTACATCGAACGACTCCATCACGCTATCCCTTTCCAGATTGGCTTCGCGGAGGGCTTTAAGGAAGACACTGGTGTTGGGTAAGTGTGCAGGTATAAATTGAAAGGAGTTGCACGAGGATCAAGTTCAAGAACCATGAGATCCTGTCCGTAGGACCACCTACACTACTTATTATGGGCCGTACCTTAAAGGTAGCTGGATCTTCTGAACCTAAGCCGTCCGCAGGAATTTTGTGGGTTTTTATTAATAGATACAACACAGGGCACATGGGTAGCTCGTATTTGAGCCTGGTCACTATTGTTCTAGGCAGGCTTGCTGACTTAGCGACGTCTGCCCACACCTTGTTGAGGTGACGATACTGCCTTGTGAACTCCTCCGGTGCAGACGGGCTATAGATGGTGCTGTCCTGAAGATGTAGACGTGTAATAGCTTGGTCCAAGCTCTGAGAGAGGACAACGAACTCCCCACCTTTATCACTAGTGCTGATCCTTACTGCACCCGACTGTGACAGTGCCCTTATTTCTTTGAGTCCTTGCCTCTGCGCTGTCGATAGGTTGGAAGGTGTGCGTTTACCGACACTTCGTCGTCGAAGCACAGTGAGCAGAGCTGTTGAGAACAGGCGGAACTTTGTATCGATGGCAACATTGGGCTCTTGTGGGGGCAAATACGTAGCTGGAAATGGTGGGGGTGGAATTGCTGTGCCATTTTCTATAGACTGAGCACTGATACCTTGCCGTCCCATGTTTGGCTCTCCGCGCAGCCGATCTTTGCAGGATGTGAAGGGTTCTACTATTTTACGCATTTGTTGAAGTGGGGCGAGTGGTTAAGGACGTGCGCTATTGAGGCGTAATTTGGGCCTAAGTTTAGATTAGATGAACCTCGGGCCGTCGCCCTCCGCGGCCCTCCCGCGACAGCCTTGTGTTGCCTATGACCGTTACCCTTGATTCGAACACACGATCCCCGCTAGGTTCTTCAGCGACAGGGTTGCTTCCGTTGGAATTAATAGCAATGTGGCTATGGGGTGATTGACACCGCCCATGACTAGTTAACCCAGAGAACTTCTTCTGTAATCTTACTTTGACACCTGAACGAATTGAATCACAAATTTGCTTCGACTCACCCACGATTCTCCTCCAAAGACTTTCCGCCAATAATCGTTCACAACATAATTCTTTAGTAGCACATTTCGTAAGACATGAATACAAATGATCACGCTTCTTCCTGAGTGCCATTACAAGAATACGTCGCTCCATGGTTTTAACTTCTTTGGCATCTTCGGAGTATCCACAAACTTCATGTAATCGTTTGTTAGCAATGAAGTTTGGGATTACATCGTGCCTCAAGCGACGACGTAAGAAGTGGATGGATTGTCTCGTTATAGCAATCTTCTGTCGTAGAGACAATACGTCCTTTCACGAGAGTCGAAAACAGTTTGCTGGTACATATCCAGAATATTCCATGAACGACTCTCTATTAATCTCGGCATGATTAGTATAGTATTAGTTGGTTCTCTTCGAGCTTCCGAGATTGATACAGAACTTTATTTCGGCTTACGTTTCGGCGCACTCGCCTTCTTCGGAGCCTGCAAATCGAAGCATATTCTTGAAACAATTCATCCAACCGTCATTTCGGATTACAAGAAGAAGAACTAAGGGATAAAAGCCATGAACAGTGACAAAACCCGCTAACCTTTACAAAAGCCGAGAGCTGGAAGGCACCCTTTGCTTAAAGACCGGCGGGCGGCGATCAGCAGGTACCATCATTTTCGCGGGTGCTAGGGGTATTGATCTACGTGATCAATCCTGGGGGGTCCATCAAATGCTAATCTGACCCTTAAAATTCAAATCTCACCTTGGGGGGTTCCCTTAAGCTATATGACCCGACCCTTAAGGTGCGAAAACACGTATAAAAGCAACCCCGCACGGTCTTTAAGCAAAGGGTGCCTTCCAGCTCTCGGCTTTTGTAAAGGTTAGCGGGTTTTTGTCATCGTTCATGGCTTTTATCCCTTAGTTCTTCTTCTTGTAATCTGAAATGACGGTTGGATGAATTGTTTCAAGAATATGCTTCGATTTGCAGGCTCCGAAGAAGGCGAGTGCGCCGAAACGTAAGCCGAAATAAAGTTCTGTATCAATCTCGGAAGCTCGAAGAGAAGCAACTAATACTATACTAATCATGCCGAGATTAATAGAGAGTCGTTCATGGAATATTCTTTGATCGATTTTTCCAACAGAAGTATAGAGTTACATCTAGTTGCCACTTTGAACATTTTTCACTGACAGTCTTCCTTTTTGCAGTTCTAAAATTAATGTTTTGCAAGGAATGTAAAAGGGGCACATAAAACTCTATAGAGCAGGCAAATTCTCATGGACGGTATATGGCATGATGTGGGACTCTAGCAGAAAATCTTTCGTTTGAAATAAAGCGAAACTACTTGTGGGAAAACCTAATAACTTCGAGGCATGTCGAGTTGTTAAGTTTACGACGCATTGGACATTAGGACTAGTATTATATAAATGAGTAGGCACAAAGGTGCTTAATAATTGGTCACAAATGCCTCTGCGTATCTGCCCTTTGTCTGCTGTAAGTTTCCTACTCCATACCCCGGTTAATATCTGGCTCAGATAGCGAAGAAATTTTTCTGCTGCGAGAGATGGAACTTGTGACATTTTGCTTTCTTCGGTCTGAGGTGATTACCATTTATGCTACTGATTGATGTATACAGTCTGGCTATGGTGAAGTTTTGTTCTCGCTCGCCTATCTCTCACAAGCTCAACGCCTTACGATGAACATTTTCAAGGCTCGGAATTTGCGGTGTCGAACTGATGGGGGTTAGTTTCTACTCTTAAATTGTATGTACTTCGTGACCTCGATGATGAGCTGTGAAGCTACTTTCAGCGATTTCTATGCGTGTATCGATCGTTGGGAATGACGAAAAGCGTTTGAAACGTAAGAAGACGGGCACAAGGAGAAACGTGCGCAACGCCCAGTTCAACGAATCGCTTACATTCGGCATTCCAAAGCGAGCACTCTGCGACATTACTCTCGAAATTGAGGTCATTTTTAATCATTGTGCAAAATATCGTTTTAAAGGCTGCACTGCTACAAGTTGGATTATGGAGAGAGGAAAATATGCCTACTGTAAGGTAATGCCAAGTGGTTCCTATGAAACCTCGGCCTAGCGTTTTCGCAGCGAGGCATCCGGCCCAGCAGTGACCCAGCCTTTCCTGCGGTGACCGACCTCTTCCACAGAGCCCTCCTTTAGGTGAATGACATAAGCGTGCTGAATTTTCATACAATCAGCAATGTTCTTCGCATTTCACCTTGGGGGAGTTCACTCTAGGCGGCCTTATCTATTAGTTTGTGCATCATCAGTCGAAGTGTTATGTATGTTAGCAGGATTACTGCCCGAAATAAATTTAAATGGCAAAATGTGAGTACGTCGCCGTTTTCGAACTATCTTCCTTGATTCCTCCTCACCTTATTGCATTTAGCTCTTATAGCCTTCATGTCAGAGGGCAAACAGTTTATCGTAACAGTTGCTTTTAGATTCAGGTTTTGCTATTGAATGGACGCGGGTTGAGTTTCATAATGGAACAATGACTGATCGATCAGCAATAATAGAACAAAAGCTGCCACGAGTCGTCAAAATAACGTTAAGCGTTTTTTGTTGGTGCCCGCCCCGCTTCTTGATAATCTCATCAGTTGGCACTCGTGCTTGATATAGTACAATGCAGGGAGGTACCGTAAATAAATGGGACTATTAATGAGACTCCCGTAGCGGGGCACTCACCCACATGACCCGTGCACAGTGTGCATTTGGAGTGTTTATCCTCTTCAGTACCGATGAATCTAATACCATAACTAGGTTAATTTTTGAGCGTGCAACACAACAACTCACCCGTGAAATATGGCCTTGATATAATGAAAACCTTTTATCACTCTTTAGTATTGCAGAGACGTTTTCAGGCTATTCATGAAACGGGTACATTTGGCATGACAACAGAAATCGTCGGGAGGATGGAGCTTCCTTTACACAGGTCGATCTTTCGTTTTGCATTTGCTTTTATTCCTTTGAATCGTGCGAACAAAAAACTTGAGACCTGAATATATTCATTACACCACTTTCGCCCATACTTCAACAGTAAGGGCTCAAAAACAATTACCTTGATGTACTGCGCCACGTAACATTGGAAGATGGTCTACAATGCTTCTTTGTTTTGAAGCCCTCGTGGAGGGAAGTCCTGTTACATTTAGCGGAGAGCGCATTTCCGTTGTACGTTTCTATCAAAAACATTTCCCATGTTTGCTTTCTACGAAATATGAGGAATAAGGAAAGTTCTTGTCGTTTCGGGTTCTGAAATTTAATTCTGCTTTTCTCGACTAAAGCACAACGCTTTAGTTTGTAGTAAAACCCATTACAATCTACCCTTCCCCGCCGATGTTGAGTGAGTTTGATCAATCCATTCACTGAATGTAAGGAGTTCTACGGCGATGAATTCAGCGAAGGTCGACAGCCTCGGCTGTGAACCCTGTAACAGGCAGCACAAGATTGTTCTCGTGCAGTTTACCTCGCGAAGTTTTGCTGACCCTAATCGTGATCGAACTGCTCAGCCGAAGTTCATAGATTAATGAAAAAAAATCCATTCTACATTGCATATCACAATCTGAACGATGGATCGGGTCGTTTTCACTCAATTAAATGATGAAAGAAGATCAGACGAATCCATAGAACCGCGATTTTTTTGCGGGGCTCATTCATCGACTTTTCTGGACTCAACAATCCTATGTGACTTGTACCAAGTATCACTTGAGCCTAACTCGAAAGTTCTCTGCAATTCTGAGTACACTTGGTTCTATTACATGTTTGAGCTTATTTTCAACGCCGTAATTATTCAACGTACCCTTACCTTCGAGGCTTTCCTCGCTACACTAGCCTTCCAACCTATAGCTGCACAGCGCAGTTTTCACAAATGCGAGTCCAAATCAATAGTTTCCTTTATGAGCTAACATCGCTCCTCCAGGGTATGTGTCAACAGAATTATCCAGATCCCCGCGCTACTCGTCGAAGTGCGACGTCGCAACTGCTGTGGAAGTGTGCGTCGTTCGAACTTGAGTGGTAAAGGATCGCAAAGTAGGCCTGCCCTTCTTAGATTCAATTAACGCGGGATAGTTGAAATTAACACGAACATTTTTTCTGCGTCTCTCAGTACTGTAGAAATGTAATAGGCCGTTTTCTATCACAGTGCTGAATTATTCCAAAGTCAACCAGGCTTTGCTCACCAGTAGACAGCTTTCGTCACCTCCAAGCCACCTCCTGAGGTTTGTGTTTAGATCAAAGAGGTGCATACGGCACCCGCCCCTGTTGTGCTGCGGCCTCGGCAGTTGGTTATTTTCAAGGGCTCGGTGGCTCGTGGCTCTAATATACACATTCGGAAGCTTTCTCATGCTATCTATCAGTAAAAAAACATGTAAAACGACATGTCATCATATGTAGAACGCACTGTTCTTTAATTTGCTTAGCACACTTCCTCTTGGGATCTATGGAACTTTATCTCAGCCATCTTGCTCTAGCTCTTGAAGAACGTCAGTCGGTTGCAAGTTGCATGATTGCAGCTATGCCATACCTTATTCTGTGATTGACGTCTAGATAAATAAATAAATGTACTCCAAGCAACGTTTCTCACTCCATTTCCTACAAAAGAGTCAGAGCAATCTGCCTTACACATAGACTTCCACACTAACTGCGAAAAATTCACTTCGCTCCAACCGTCGTATTCAGAAATCCCGTGCTCACTAGAAAACTGTTGCACCTCCACGCCGTGCGAAGCCGCACGCCGACGATTCTGCTGGCCGCTCCCTTTCTGCCCTAATTCGAGTCAGAGGAATCAAATCGCGCGAATTCACTTATGGGCTTATTGTATTCAATGCCATGAAGACGTGGGAGCAGTAGTCCTTGAGCGAAGCTGACAGCACCTGAAATGTGTTTTCAGTGTCATGCAATATGTATGCCAAAAAGCTAGTCAGAGTAATGGCTCAAAGCTTGAACTATCAAAAACGGCAAGAACTCCTTAGTAAAAAACTAGCAGATCGCTGTGCCGATGAACCCTTGAAGGAGGATCCCACGATAAGGTCAAAGAAGGGATACTTATCTAGTGGGAAGACAGGTGGACCTCGAACGGGGAAATCTTTTAGGTGGGGCCCTGCTTCCTGAAAACAGTTGTTTGCAGGGTCTACTGGCCCATGCTTAGAACCTAGAGCTTTAGTTTATTTTTTTTTTCGAGCGGCCGTCTGAACATCAGGAAATAAAGGTTGAGAGCTTAAAACACAGTCTCAACAGCGTTTATATTTTTGACACTAATGGTGTGGAACGATGCGCTAGCGTCAAGAACATAAAAAGTGTGACTGAACAAAAACTCACCTTGGAAAGCCGCTAGAAAGGGAGCTGAACAGCTTCGAAGTGGGCGTGGTGCCAGTCGGCTGCAATCCCCTCGCCGATTGGCAACCACGCCCACTTCGGAGCTGTTCAGCTTCCTTTCTAGCGGCTTTATAAGATGACTTTTTTGTTGTCTTCAGTTCAGTGTTTTTGTTCATCATGAGTGTCAAAAATGTAAACGCTGTTGTGCTCTTAGCGTCACACCACTTTTACATCACTTTTTGGCAAAAATTTACTCATATAGCTTAAAGGAATCTTCCGCGGAAAAAGCTCCGCCTCCATTACCACAGAAAAACGATACCCCTTAGGCCCCTAGCCTCATGAGCATAGCAAAAAGAACGGAACATAAGCGTTAGTTTCGATAATACTAATCCTACACACAAGACAAAATGATCACTCTTTCCGTGGAAGATTCCTTTAAGGTATCGTTTTCTGTGGTAATGAGGGCGGAGCTTTTTCCGTGGAAGATTCCTTTAATGATGTCCTGATGGTTAAACGGCATTCACTGCTAAGTAAGGGAACCATTTTGCAACACAGCCTCATTTGAAAATACAGCCCTCTGTCAGCGAGGGGACTCGAACCATCAAAAAGAAAAACCCAGAGAATTGAAATTGCTCCCTAAATTTTCATTCAAAGGTCGTCAGCGACCGCTGGTTGACATAGTAGTCCGATGTGAAATCTCCGTTTCGACCACCGGTAGCTGACCTTGTCGGGACGCTACTGTGCCTTACTTGCTGTAAATAGATACTAATTCAAAAGCAGTCACGATGGTTCAAGGGCGGCGCTGCTTTGATTACGCCATTTTACGTCATTTAGACTACACCCCTCGATGCGCTGGGGAGAGGAGGGACCGTTGAATGCCCCTTAACGCCCTTTCACCAAAAACCCCGATGGCGTTCAATGACGCCATCGAAACCGCAACGCCCTCCAGCGATCGTGACGACTGCCTTTAGAAGGACTGCGTACGGAAAAAAAATATGATTTTATCTCACCCATAAATAATTTGGTTGAGACCAGTCATTCAAGATAAAGACGAAATGAACGATTTGTTTGTTCACGTAAACAATTCGAAAACCCGAAATATTATCACGCGTTCAAATTCTCGGCTTACTTCTGTCAATAACCATTCAGTAACAGTTCTCTCCACTGCATCTACTCTTTCGATCGTTGTCTCTCTTCCCTCTCGAACGTTTGAACTCGCTTCCTTCAATATCGCCTGATACGTGGCCGTCCTGGGGCGCACTCTTTTATGCGTGCCCTTGTTTCCACCCGAGCCTATACTCGACCGTCCATAGAGTGTGGTTTTCGCAAGTTTGTTTCTCTCTGGGAGTCTTCTTGTGTGAAACATTGCACGTTGTCTCTAGTGATCACAACTGATACATGTATATGTTGGGAAACAACACAAGAATCGCTCGGGGATGATTCCTTCATGCGCTCTGAATGATTCGAATACGCTCTGGTTTCTTCAAAATAAAAACTATTGCAGTAGGCCAGATCACACAGTTTTCCGGAAAAAGCCTATTTAAATTAGTGCCATCACACGATTTCGTGAGAGGCTTTGGGAGCACTATTTTCTACTCTCCGAAATCTTTTCAGGTGCAAGGATCTATGGCGAGCGATCATTCACGAGGAAAAATCTCAAGCACGATGGTATCCACTGGAGGAGCCATAATTGCTGGATGTGTATTGAATTGTTGGCTGAAATCATTTATTGCCGCTCGAAAATAATTATTCATCAGGACAATACACAGATCTGTGGAGTTTTCCTTCGCCTGCACCAGTAACCTGAAATGTGTAGCTAATTTATGATGCCGGTCCGCTTGGTTTTTTCTCGTCTAACCAGAATAGGATAGATGATCATATACAATGAGACATAAACCATAGGATGTAATTTAATCTTAGATGAAAATCTGCCTATCGATTTTCTGAACGGAGTTATGAAGGGCTATTTTGCCACGTAATTCAACACAGTCAGGAGTCATCAGCGACGATATCTATACGTTGACGACCATGAGGAGTAATCGTTAAATTTCCAAATTGGTCCGACGTGACGGTTGACCCTGCCACCGGCACACCTCGATAACGCACGGCCATCGTTTATCACGTTGACGACCACCATTGTGCCCGTACTGCTTCAACGTTTTTCGTATTCTCTCATCAATAGGCATCAATCCTTTAGCGTTTTCATTTCATAGGTGCATTCTACAAAAAAAAACCAGGAGACACTTCCTGAATTCACACACAAATAGCAGACGAGCTCCAATAGTTTGCTGATACACAAAGTGGCAAAATGAACTGCGTTCAATGGTTGTTGTACAGGAGCCCACAATTTTGATGGCGCTGCTTGCACAGGGAACTAAGCTTTCATGACTTGACTTTCAGAACCACAAACAATATTTCCATTTTGACACACAAGCCCATATCAAAAGCAGAACTATTCACAATGATGTCGCGAACGAGTGCATGGCGCATCATAAAGCACGAGAGTCTGGAGAAGTGTCCGAATCGAGTACGGTGACGTTGCGTTAGCATTGGCGTGCACAGTCTTCGCTCAGCCCTGCTCGGAAAGACCGAACGAACTTCTAATTTTTGAATGAGTATAATTCTGTTCAGTGTCAATATTTTTCGAAACGCTAGGTGGATTTGTAACCTGCGAAGCGCCAGTTCCAAAAAACTACCACGGTGTACAGCATCTTTGATAATTCGTTAGTTATGGAGTGGAGAATTGAATATTCACAATGCGCACTTCTTTGTTTGGAGGAATATAATTTTCTTCAGATACGAAAGTGTGAGGAAGGGTAAGAAATTCAGAATCATTGGATTGTTCTCTATCTAAAAACTATTTCCTTTTCAAATTTCCATTCCTTCAAAAAAAATTACCCAGTCGAACAGTTTTTAGTGCACAAGCAGGTTTTTTTTAGCTTTCAGTGACTATTATAGAACATTTCGTCAAATTCAACTTGTTGCACTCCTGCAAAAAAAACTAGATGATTAGAAGGTTAGTGCTTTCTAGTGAATACCTGATCCTGCTTCTAAATTGTCTGGCTCAAAAAATTGTCCCGTTGGACCGTTTTTTTTTTCATGAATTTTCGGAGCTACTCTCCTGAAAACACGACTTTTCAACACTTAAACACTCACAGCTCTCTTCAAACTCAATTTTATGGACAAGAATGATACCATGACAAAGCACAAGCTTCACGAGTTCTTGGAGCTACTCTTCTGAACACGCGGGTTCAGTGTAAAAATCGTGTCGAGGACATGGTTACATCATTACGACCCCCCCCCCACCTAAAATTGGGTCATACGACCTCCTGATTTGGATTATAATAGAAGCGTTTTGGTACTTCTCATCATCTCACAACGTGAAGGAATGAAGGGACGAGTCGTGTGCATACAGGAAAAACATTTCCTTGAGTTTACTCACGCGCGCGGTCGAAGGATAAAATTCTGTCCCGTTAGGGCCAATCAGGCTTTCCATTCTTCCGAGGCTATCAAATCGTATCAAAAGAGTGGAAGTTTGATTGGCCTGGGAAGACGAAGGAATCCCGCGATCGTTACCATGAGATGGCCGAAACTAATAAACGATAACAACAATAGCATTAAACACAAACAATTATAGAAATCGCAGGGATTAATGGTGAGCAATGGGAAAGCCGAGTGTATAGATCGAGGGCCGATTCACCGGCGCGGTTGATCTCTGGATCACATTTGCTTGAACCCCGCTGTAAACTAGCGAAATCTACACCTTCGATGAAAAGATTCCATTTACCCATTTCATAACCTTTTGAGCAGTATGTGGTAGGGTTAGATAGAGCTGGATTTGCTACTACCAGGCAATATTGAAATTGCTCTAAAAGCCTTACACTCGAAGAGATAGGGTCTCTCAAATTTTGTCGAGTCAGCGTCGAGGACGCTGAAATTTTCATGCGAGTTTTTGCCACTTCAAAGGCAATATCTCTCTTATCATGTAAGAATTCGAAAAAAAAGCAGAAGCGGAAGCTTGGCGCTTTCTAACAAGCTGGTTCATGTCTCCAATTCCATAGTTGAGGAGATATTTGCGTCGAGTATCTCTCGATAACGGATTTCGGTCCACCCAAAATTTGCTCTCCTTCACCATTGCAAGTGATTCGCTTGGCAACTCTCGAATGTGTCTAGAATACATTCTTTAACGTAAGCGGTAAGAAAGGGGCAGTCGTTCGTGTTCGTCTGGTATAGGCCATGCATCCGACCTCACTCAAAGTTGCAGAATCGATTGAAAGGTGTTATATGATCATGACCAGTTGACAGAAGCTGCATTGTAGTAAACACATTTCGTAACTCCTACAACCTGAACAACAACTTTGCCCAGGGCTTTTCCTTCACGGTTGTCGTTTTTGCGACAGGGTCCCTAACAACAGCGTCATTCTCAACAACGTATCAAGGGAGAGGGAGCGGGCGGTATATAGAGGAACGCTTGTGGAATCATGGTTATGCTCCACATGTCCTCGTTTTCTGCTGCGCTACACCCTCTTACTCTTATCTGCACCATGATACCACTTCTGTTACTGACCCCCACGAGTACGACCCCCCATGAACCACCCTGACAAGTACGACCCTCCTGTCGAGGATTTCCTGAGCCGATATTCACTCTGCGCGAGTTTCCATCACTCAAGTGCTCACAGCTCCCTTCAAACTCAGTTTTATAGGGAATAATGATTACCATGACAAAGCGCAAGCTCTCTTTATTATAATAGACCAGATTGGTCCCCTTTCAACCGCTAGAACCTTCTCGTCTTTCGCTATGGACCCTTCTGTTTGTGACACCTCCACCTTGCTCCCTTCCACATCCTCCCTTCCACTGCCCTTCAAAAGCCTCTGCAGCACCATGTGGAACGACCGGAAGTGTGCTCAGTAGGTGTTTACACTGCGACGCATAATCTTAGTTCCACCTACAAATTTCCCAAAAACTAGAATTTGGAGATGTTTTTGAAAAAGGCTCTACAGACAAATTGTGACACATGCAAATGCGAATCTGAATATTATCACGGAAATCCAGTTTGAGAAAGCAAAAATTTTTTATCCTCATTTTTTCGAAAATACCCGACTTGCCTATGACGCAAAATCATAGTTCCACCACATGTTTCTCTGCTGCATTTTGCTTTTACCCAATCAAATTTTGAAATTATTACCCACTCAAGTCCCTTAGCTTATAGCAAAGGCAAAACCGCTGTCGAACTTCCGTAAAAGGAAAACCCTAGCAAAAGAGACGCAGGAATTGTTGAAGTGTCAGCTCACGCTGGAATTTGTCGGGGTGACTTCATAACGAACAAGTTTCTCAAGGATGCTACAGGATATGATTCTGGGAAGAACCCTGATTACTATCCGACCGAGATAAGCGCCGTATCGTGAGAAAATAATACGACTTTATCCAGACGGGTACGGAAATCAAAACTTCTTCAAAAGTTAGTGTCTCAATGGAAGCAGTTTCACGTGTTTTACAACACGCTCGTGACAGTCCATGTCTGGAGGATAAGAAATACGCTTTCAGTGAGAAGAAATCAGAGAGAAAAACGAGCCATTTTTCTTTGAAAGCTCAGCCAGTTCGAGTGAAGCGGTGGCATTCTTTCATTTGCGACTTTTGATTTGCGTCTTTCTTTCTCTTAACGTTTTTCTTTCTCAGATCGGTTTTCTACTTCGTAGCACACATGTATGGAGAAGAAAATGATCAGGAGGATGGTCAGAGGTTCCAAAATATCACAGATAAAAAAGTGTCCTCACTTCGCTCTACTTAGCAAAACTTTTTGAGAAATTTTATTCCTAACATAATATTTTTATTTTTTTCCTTTTTTACCTCCAGACATGGACTGTCACGAGCGTGTTGTAAAACACGTGAAACTGCTTCCATTGAGACACTAACTTTTGAAGAAGTTTTGATTTCCGTACCCGGCTGGATAAAGTTGTATTATTTTCTCACGATACGGCGCTTATCTCGGTCGGATAGTAATCAGGGTTCCTCCCAGAATCATATCCTGTAGCATCCTTGAGAAATTTGTTCGTTATGAAGTCACCCCGACAAATTCCAGCGTGAGCTGACACTTCAACAACTGCGTCTCTTTTGCTAGGGTTTTCCTTTTACGGAAGTTCGACAGCGGTTTTGCCTTTGCTATAAGCTAAGGGACTTGAGTGGGTAATAATTTCAAAATTAAAAGCAAAATGCAGCAGAGAAACATGTGGTGGAACTATGATTTTGCGTCATAGGCAAGTCGGGTATTTTCGAAAAAATGAGGATAAAAAATTTTTGCTTTCTCAAACTGGATTTCCGTGATAATATTCAGATTCGCATTTGCATGTGTCACAATTTGTCTGTAGAGCCTTTTCAAAAACATCTCCAAATTCTAGTTTTTGGGAAATTTGTAGGTGGAACTAAGATTATGCGTCGCAGTGTATATAGCCGTAGGAGTGTTATCACAATTATCCTGCTACAAAACATTGATATCTCAAATCCTGTAAGCTACCCGATTTGTTAGCGGTTTGTTTATCCCATGAGCTTCCTTCTCACTCACTTCATTTTGCGGACGGACACACACATACATACATACATACATACACATACATACAAACCGACACACCAAAGTTAGCGGCTTTATAAAATATAGTAGAAGGATAGAAAACACTTAACAGGAAGTCGCCGCA